ATATATATATATATATATATATATATATATATATATATATATATATAGCTTATTTATAACATGTGTTAAAAGTTGTGGTAGTTAATTTTTTGAAATTAATAGAAGATTTACAGTCAATTATCAAAATACCTAATAATTTTTTGATAAATATAACTACTCCTACTCTTAAAGTTTTAATAAAATCCTGAGAAACTTACGAAGATATTTCTTCTAGAATACGGTTCAAACCAGCTTGCTCTTCAGATTCTTTAGGTAATGATCCATAATGATAGTCCTCGGGTACGCGTTGAATGCTTGTGTTGTTGCATGCCGGATCAATCAGCAAATGAGTCCGTTCTTGATCAACACCCTATATGTTTTAGTACAAATAAAAATTATTAACATCCATTTTCTACGAGTAATGATCGTAGACTTCTACTTACGGAATACGTATCGTCTTCTTTACACCAACTGCAGCAAGCGCCCATGATATTGAAATAATAAATAAAATCCTAACAGACAAAAATATTACGTTGATCTGTATAATAGCACTACGATTGCATGAGAACTGTTAGGGTCATTACTTTTTATTCAATTATATTCTATACAACATGCAGTCAGCTCTAGAGTTGTACCACATAAAGGTTTTTAATGTAATTAAATGCCTACTTTTAGTTACGAATTTTCGACAGATAACCAAAATGAAAATTTAAAAACAACAATTAGTAAATGATTATGATAAGAAGATGACATGATATTATAAGATAATGGTCGCCAAACTTTAATCGGAAATTCAAACAAATTCAGTTCGTCAACGTTACTGGTCACATTTGAATGTTTGAGAATTCTTTCCCCACATCCAACTGCGGTAAAACAAATTTCTATTTGTTTTTTTTTCCATTCTTAAAACGATATTGCAGTGAACAGATTGCGTTGTTAAAATACGCAATCGAAAACGGTAAACATGACTGAATTGAAATAAACGATAAGATGTATACTTTGCTCCACGGATTTTATAAGTATTTAACGCAGAAAGATGAATTCTGTGTTCTCATACTGGGCCTGGACAATGCTGGCAAAACGGTAATTATTATAATGACGGTGTTAATACTATGGGCTATCAGTTTTGAAATCGTAATACATGGTTTAAGATTTATAAATGTTGTAATATGCCATATAATACTAGACTACTAAACTAAGAATTTATTATAATACACAAAAACAACCTTGTAACTAGATTTTTTTATATTTAAATTTCTGAACATGATATAACTGCTGATTGTTTAAATAAGAATTTGATATATTATATGAGAACAACTTTGTACGTTGTACTTTGTGGCACCATAGAGTAACTTGTGACACGCTACAATTTTATGCTAACGCTCATTTCCAGACGTATTTGGAATGTTCTAAGACAAAGTTCAAGAAGAACTACAAGGGTATCATGCCAGGTAAGATCACAACCACTGTCGGATTGAATATTGGCAATATTGACATAAACAGGGTGAGCTTAAACTTTTGGGATTTAGGTGGTCAGACTGAACTGCAATCGCTTTGGGATAAGGTAAATATTATTTTTTAAACATTGTTGAACATCCAGGTATTTTTATTTCAATGCTTTTTATTTTTTTAGTACTATGCTGAATGTCATGCCATTATATATATTGTAGACTCATCTGATCGAGAGCGTATGGATGAATCAAGGAAAACTTTTGGTATGCATGTGTTTTAAATAAATAATAAATAATAATAACATATATGTTATTTATTATTGTATTGTATAATTTTGTTGTAATGTTGTTCACATTCCATTATCAATAGAAAAAATGATTTTCAATGAGAACCTAGCTGGTATACCGCTTTTAATATTGGCAAACAAACAGGACATTCCAGATTGTATGGGTGTTAGAGAAGTAAAACCTATATTCAATCAAAATGCTCATTTGATTGGAAGAAGAGATTTTATGGTTATGCCTATATCGGCATTGACTGGGTATTTATTTTTATTTAAAATAAATAAATGTATGTAGTCAGTTTTTTATAAAACTAAAATATAATGAAATATATTACAGTGATGGTATTGCTGAAGGAATGCAATGGTTAGTGGAATCGATTCATAGAAATATTGAAATGCGCCCACCAAAGAATGCTGAAGATTATTGATATTCAAGTGAATCATATTTGTTTTTTTTTATGTAAAATAGCTTATTTATATTTTATTATTAAGTTTGTTCTATATCTTAGTAAAATGATTAATTTTATTGTTTAATACGGAAAGAAAGTATAATGTTTATCAAATGGTAGTACCTTATTGTTAGAAAAGAAACTATTATTATATATCGATAAAATATAACATGTGATTCTATATAAATAAATAACTTATTTATAACAGTAATATCTAATTATATTTAGATAAATTCAGTTAATTTAAATGTTACTTAAATCTAACTACTATGACCTAAATGAATAAATACATCAAGATTAATTTTGAGGTATTGATCTTATGAACTTCATCATTCCCTAAATATCTGTATGTATTATTGTTAGGGCTAAAGTTTAAATGTATTTGCATGTTTTTTCCTTAAGTCCAAATTGATTGGTTTTCAGTATGTCCACGATTTGGCTTATTGCCGATTAAATAGAACAATTTTTTAATATAATGCATATTTATAGATTTTTGATAATCTTGTTAATTTTTAAACTTATATTTTCAAGTTTTTATAATATTGCTAATTTTAAATGTTAATTATTTAATGAATGTTTATTTTTCTAATTGTCGTAAATATACTACATATATAACCTTACCTTGGTCAGACGACTGATATAATTATTCACACATTATTTAACGACGTATTTATTAGAATTCTAAAAGGGCCAAAAGTAAGCTCAGAGAATGGATTTTTGCGATCGGCACATATGAATGTTATACATTGAACCAGTGAACAATTATTATAATATAATAGACTATAGATTACTAGAGACTAGCAAATTACTAGCAAACAGTAAAGAAATAACAAATACTTGAAATATTGTATAACTGAGTACAAATGGCATATATAGGGGGGAGGGGTGCCTAGTGGGCTACAGCCTCCCCGAAATGTTTTAAAAAACTTAAAAATTATTTTAAACGTATGTTATATTTTAATGATGTTTTATGCTTATTTAGAATTTGCGTCCAACGTCAAATAGTTTTGGGACATTCTGCAAATGAAATGTAGATAAGTACCTACTGTGTCTTGTTAGTAATTCTTAGATAGCAGTGGTAATTTAATCCTATGTATAGTAGCCCCTCCCGAAAATATTTTCTATATACGCCACTACTAAGTACATTAATAAGAAGATTACGAGAATTGAATATTTAAAGAAAGTTAGCATCAAATTGGCAAATCAGTGGTTTTAAATTGTATTTATTATAATTTATTATTTGTATTTCGTACACCTAAGTGATGACTAGTTGACTTCCAACTCCGATTTAAAATTGTATATATTTTATCATTTTTTTTTTTAGCACACATTGTTAACTAAGCTTACTTTAAAGTTGACAGTCCTAAGCTTGTAAAACTGAGAAGGAAAATGTGCGTAATTAAACGGGAACCAATTCGGCTGTACTTAATAAAATACCATTTTCAAACGGGAATCAATTCGGCTATACCTAATAAAATACCTTTTTCAGATGGGAAACAATTCGGCACGGGAGTTGAAGCTCGGGAACCAATTCGGTACCAGCCAGGATTAAATATTTTTAAATTAAATGAAAGTCGTGAAGCCCCTAAAATGGCGAAGCTCTGCCCTTTCTGTCTTGCCCTTCCGCCGGCTATGCCTTACTGGTAAGAATGTGCAGTTCCACCGATTACTTAATGAACAAAATCATTAGGCCTTGTATGCTGCTTGCCAGTTTGGGTCGTATTACATTTAATTACCTATTGTTATAGATCAAATATATTTAATATATTATTGTTTATATGTATGATTATTAATGTTGATAAATTATGTTCACCAATTAAAATTATAATTTTTGTGAATAAATAGCACCTACTGTAAAAATAAATAAATATTATCATCTGTCGGCAATGAATGTGTTATTCAGTAAAATAATGAAAACGATTTGTATACTATATGAGTGATCAGAAAAAAAAAAGATGGTAAATTGTGGAATGCTGTAACGAAAATAACGATAAATTCAATACAGTACAATACAAGACCATGGGTTTGATCCCAATCCGAAATGTTTTTTTGGAATTTCCCACCTCTTTTTCGTTACATATATATATACACTGAATTAAATTCTCTCATTTTGTCTCTCGTATTTGCAGAGATTGCGCGTGATCCGAATTTTAATTTTATAAATTAATATTCCCATGCAAAACCGACATATATGAACGTATCATATATTGTGCGATACCTATTCATGTGTATATAAATTAAAAAATATCCATCTGAACGATCATATGAATTTGGCTTTCTAATTTCGAGATAACAATTATTTATACACAGCATATTACAATATAAAAAATATTTTTACACAATATATTATTAAAAATATATATTTTATGCACAAAAACACACGTGTAATTCTATGCGAGTATTTTGTTTTCTAATTCTATTGTATTTTAAGTAGGTCGTAGATAGATGTTTTATTATTTCACATGTGCAACTGTAATCGTATATATCATGAATTATAAAAATTTCGTTACACGAAGGCCGATCGCATGAAATATAGGCGTTCGAACGAATAAAAAGTTTTCAAATAATACGATTATACCAACAGATAAAAATGTTCAACTCTAGTTATCCATTTCGAAGTAACTTTAAATGTTATCGCCTGAACTTTTGTTTTGTTCTTATTTTACTTAACGGTTTTTATCTGTACCTATAAGAAAAATTATATAAGTATTATATATACAGGGCTGGCAAGAACTTTTAAGGGCCCCGGGGCTGATCGGTTCCAGGTCCTCTTTACCTGCACTTGTTTGACCAAGATGTACATACTACTTTTACATATTTTAGTACAATAAAAATATTGTAAAAAAGGCTAAGACGATGGGTCCCGGAACTCTAGCCCTGCCTGCCCCACCCTCTCGACGGTCTTGAATATATATATATACAGGACCGGATTTAGACTTTCGGATGCCCTGGGTAAATCGATTTTTCGAGGCCCCTAGCAGTACAAAATTAACATTATCCATGTAGTAAAGAAAAAATTAAAAATTTACATACTTGCTCGTTAAAATGATCAGCCTAAACTTTTTTATTTCAAGTTTAAAATACCACTGTTCATGCTTCAAAAATCACAAATTTCTGTATGTATAATAATATCACAGTTTAATTAAATGTAATATACAGTAAATACTAAATAGTTAGTAATAGTAAATAATAAAAAATAAATACATTTTTATAAATGTGGTACTTTTAGAAGTAATAAGTCTGACTTAAAAAAATTAGATATACATTTGGTTTTTTTAATGTCATTTTAAATTTTTGATTAGTAGTGCCACTTCTCTGGACTCTTTTCATATTTTGAAATTCAAAATATTTCATACCTATCAAAAATTGTTACTAAGACTCAAAAATAATGCCTATAAATTAAGTTGCATTAATTAATATATATTATCAAAATTTAATTACAAAAAAAATTATATAGTATACTTTAAAAATTGTTTGTCAAGCTTTTTTGTTTAAATGCTATGGTGTATATAGGATTTTATTTCCAAAGGTCAGTAGCGGTTCGTGTCTAGGTGTACAGGTGTAATAATGACTCGTATCAAAACAATATATCCGGTTCTCTATTTGATAAATTTTACAGTAGTAGCTTACTGTAGTAGACTATATATTAGATTCATATATAAAAAATGACGCTGACTTTCCACCAGAAATATGGTCAGAATATTTATCATCAACATTACGCACGACTAACAATAACGAATCTTTCCATGGAAATTAAATAGTTCGTTTAATTCTATAGATATTTTAAAAAATATACAAATTGATACTTATATGGCGTTACGAAGTCAGTGCTCAAGGAATAGAATAACAATTGAAAAAAAAAATGGAAGAATTAGAAACTAAAGAACTAAAAAATTACTAAAATTGAATTTGTGAAGCAATTTTTATTCAAATTTTTATCTACATTTCGACATTCCGTAAATAGTGTCGTTTTTTTGTAATTTTTCATAGGTTTTCCGCAATTATTGGGAAAATGATTGAGAAGTATAAAATGAACTAATACAACATTTGCTATCGAAAACCACCTCTGATGTTGTTGATAGGATCAATTTTACTAAGAAAAATCGTGTCCACATTCATAAAAAATAAAAATATGTATATATATATAAAAAAAAAAATATTTATAATTGTATAGAGTCCATGGAGAGTTAAACCCCCATCCTTGATCATGCCCATGTATATAAATATATTCATAAAAGGGTAATATATAAATAAATATAATATACTAAATGTCTATACGCATAATTCGAGCATAAAGCGATTTATTAAATAGCGCAGAAATAAAAAAATAAATAATTTGTACAAAAAAGAAAAAAAAATGAAGACGACAAAAAACGTATGATAATATATTTCATTTTATAAATGGACATTTACATTACAATAACTAAATTACACATAATTCGCTTTGAACATCACGAGCCGCCACTGTTATAGGTACGAGTAGAATGTTGTGCCCTATTTATTTTAATCATTGGTTTTATAATATCAAATCAATACTTAAATCAAATTTAAGAATAAGTTATTATGAAATAGGTACCTGTATAAAATTAACTAAGCAGGGAAGTGTACATAACAACACAGTTTAATACATTTTTGAACAGCATGGAATAAAACTTACAAAATGTATTTCGGATGCGGAAAAATTCAAAGTTGTCTGCCTCCACACAGTGGACTTGAAATTCTATACCAAAACACCTAACAAATTTACGCACACTAAAACTGAACAGTAAACATACATAAGTGTCGCTATTTTGTTGTACGTACATCCATTCAGACAATAAAGAGCATAACATAGATAATGACGAAAAATCAAAATAACATGGACTGCGCTTTTTTAATATGGTAAAGTGATACGTAGAAGTCAATGTTATGCTTCATCATTATCAGACTGTTTTCCGGTTACTACCACCTCGGTGTTTAAAAATAAATCATTTAACGATTCGAAGGTTTATAGTTTAATACCATATCATTGATTAAAAACATATGTATATTTAATCAAAGCCTATATACTAATATATTTGTGCATTCGCTAGATGCCCCAATCCCATACTGTTTCCACTTAACATTTTGACGTACTCATTTTATAGATCAAATAATTCGAACATTTTGTAAGCAATTAATGGCGCAAGCGCCATTCAATATACTAGAATTAGAAGCTGTAGTATCAAATACAAATCCTTGTTTTTTTTTCTAATAAACCCCATATTACTAATTCATCAAACACTGTCGAACATATTTCATTGCCTGTGGCGCTTGAAAATTGTGGGACCTCCAAAAGTTGTTTGATTTTTAGGTCATTATGATAACTGGAAGTCTATCACACTTTTCTTTTCCAACTAAAATAGGCATAATCTTAGAATCCCAATGCACAATTCCATAACTTAAGTTTAAATCAGTTAAATCAGTAAATTTAGATTTTATATTACTTGTAGTATTTTTTCTAATTAACTGTCGTGCATTTCTTAAATACATTCGGGGTTTATTGTAAAATCGTTTGAATCTAATCACACCTGCTTTGATGCACGCCGTTAATAACTCTATTACTGAATAATCTATGAAGACAAGACAATAGTTCGTTTTCTAATAGAAGTATGTGAAGTTTGAATATTTAATTCGATTTCGAGTTGATCAATTATTGTATCTTCAACTTCCGATACATCAAAATCGTTTTCATTCAAAATATTTGCTAAAAAATAAGTTATTTATGGTAATAAATAATACTTATAATGTATTTTAAAATGTAATTAATTATAATATTATATAAGCAATAAATATTAATTACCAGTTTTTAAATATTCAGAATTTTGTTTTTTTTTCTTTTCTTTTCTTTTCTGTGTTTTCTCGTGCGGCTTTTCGTTGTTCCTTTTCAGATAATTTCATGTCTCTACCAAGCATGCATCCAACACGTCCTCTTTGTCTTTGCAATAATAGGAATTTTTTTTCTTCATCAATTTTTATTAAATTCATTACATTTGAATGGACGATGTCAAACAAATAGTCTAAGGTTTCTTCAAATTGCTTTTCTCTTACTCGATATATGAGTATATTTCCATTTTTTGTTTGATTTTTTTTTAAATTTTGTATCTCAGTCTTCGTTCGCACTGTGCACGAAGCACACCTCTTCATGTTAGCTCCGCGGAATCGCTGCTGTTTCTACTTTTTTGTTAACCGATAAAGTTAAAATTTACATCAAATAATAGCTAACGCTGAATGCAATCAATTGTCAATAATTGAATCAGCTTTTATCCTTATTGTTTCCGTCGTACTTAAAAATGTAGTTTTTCTAATATTTGACAAGTGCAATTATTTAGTTATCGTTGTGCCGCACAGGCAGAACGTTATCGCGTTTACTGGTCAACGGCTCGTGACCTTCGCTCATTAATTATGCCCCCCAAAACAAACATTAACTATTTATAAAATGTGAAAAATAACAAACGTGATAAAAATCCAATACTATACAGCCCGCTAGTCTAACAGAAACACAAAACTCTGAAATGAACGACCCAGGCCACAGCACTTAACACAACATTACGAACAGCCCTGAAAATGAAAACTGGACTACTCAAACAGGTAAAAGAAGCCTGTCAAGCTCATCATCCGGTTCTACCACCTCCAATATCTTTTCTGCAAAAAAACCTCAACCAAAAACCAAAAAGCTCTTTTTCTCAACACGTAATCGCTATGAACCACTTACGATTGCTGAACCTACCAACTCGGTTTTTGACGCATGCG